CTGTTTTACCAGTCCCTGCAACGTTTTGAACCTTAAACGAAAGCCTCTCGCCATTGCATCCTTGGATGTTGGTTAGCAAATGACTTGCTGAACACGTGGCACTGGACTTGYTAGCCAGTAACGCATTTCCTTGATAAAACAACACGTTACATTGGGCGGGTTTTGCTGATGACTGACAGGTCAAGTTAACTGTTTYTCCTTGCAGAAATACGTTGCTACTTTTGTTTGTAAAGCAACTAGTGTTTTCGGGTTTGTCTAAATAAAAAGAGAAAAATGTAGGGAAATGGCGTAGCAGCTAGATGACAAATAATGACATGTAAATATTCATTTGCAATTTTAAGAATAACAACAACAACAAAATCAAACACGAAACCAGAGTGAGCCAAAGCAAAACAACATTATTAGAAAAGAAATTATAACGACTTATAGACAAAAAAATGAGTGATTTCTCATTAGGGTTATATAGGGTTAAAAATAGTGTATCAGCTACTGAGCATTAAAAGGTAGTTATAGCTTACAAAGAATGTCATTATATTGAAAATATTGATGTTAATATTCTCCATTTAATTTATTAGCTTATTACAGAAGATAGACGTCACTGTTTTTAATGTTAGCTAGCATTGTTAGGTTAGCATGCATATTAGAGTGGTCTAGTTTGAGTTGCTCGTTGATATATGCTTTTTTGTGTCGGTACACTGAATAGCCATATCTCAATTTCAAACCCACCTTTTGCAAGGATAAGATAGTTGTTAGAAAAATTCTCGTAATTCAGCTTCAGTCCGCAGTCGTACACTTTCTCTAGCATTATTGTAAAGTTTATTAGTTTAACATTCAAATCAAGTAGCCTTGTACATGTAGCGTGGTTGAAATCAGTAGTAAAATAAAGAAACCGAGATAAGCATRTCGATATGTGTTTGGTATATGTCTTCTTCCTTTCTTTTACAAAGGTTTTTAAACTCTTATACTCTTTTATATGTATGATGATCCATTTTTTCGTAATAAACTTAATAAATTTGAACTTGGTACATCTGAGCAAACCGCATAAGTATAAAATAGAACTTCGATTCTTCATTCAACGATATCTTTTTTTTACACTTTGAACTAAAAAAGGCAAATCAAGCTTCAACATACCAAGCTCCTCCGCAGTTTAAACACGGCTTTTATGGTTCGGTCATGCACTGGTATAAATATTAAGATATTACTCAATTGACCTTCAGCTTATTTCATAACATGCAATCTGGTATTTGTTAGCTATTTACGCTTTGTATGATATAATATATACAACATTACTGTTGGCATTTATTGTCTAGATAATTTATAAANTATTCATTCAACGACATCTTTTTTTTTTTTACACTTTGAACTAAAAAAGGCAAATCAAGCTTCAACATACCAAGCTCCTCCGCAGTTTAAACACGGCTTTTATGGTTCGGTCATGCACTGGTATAAATATTAAGATATTACTCAATTGATCTTCAGCTTACTTCATAACATGCAATCTGGTATTTGTTAGCTATTTACGCTTTGTATGATATAATATATACAACATTACTGTTGGCATTTATTGTCTAGATAATTTATAAAAYTTTGTTAAAATGCAAAGTACAAACTCTAATAACTTATATAAAATTCCTTACACGTGACAGTGATGGATGATTGAGCAGTTGCTGCAGGACACTCATTTCCATTGTGTGCTGTACACTGGTACGTAGCCTCGTCTCCACGTACAATACTCGTGAAGGTGTAACTAGAACCTTCAGGATATGATGAACCACCAACTTTACTCCAAGTCACGTTCATCGGATCACTACCCATTACATTGCACATAAGAACCACTCTGTCTCTTTCTACTACAGTCTTGTTTGGTGTTGAAAACGTTATCTTAGGAGGAGCTGAAATTATTTGAAAGTAGAATATGTAAAAACAATAAAATTGAATAAATGCAACAGATAATTAAATGCTTTATTTAACAAATGAAACAGCTTTTTCCGTGCTCCGTTCAGTTGAATGAAGCACGCAGGAAGTGGCATAAGGAAGAATAGAGTGTAAGGAGGAACAAGAGTCGTAGGTTAGTGCTTCTCACTCTTCTTGAGTACTTACGGCGCTTCCTAAGTGCTTTATTACTAAACAGAGCAAGCAGTTTTCTTCCTTTTATAATATAGTTACTATTTTTATTTTGGTATTGAAGATATTTACGCAAAAAGAAAGCAGGTCGCAGGATGGAGCAGCATTTCACGGCCGCAGTTGGCGTCAGCACTGTGCTCCGTTCACTTATAAAGCACAGTTTTTGCGTACTATCCTAACTATACAATGAACTAAACTAAAAACTACATTGAAGGAGTTAAAGAATTTTCAAATACCTTTTGTGGCAATGGTCACCGATTTATTCTGTCCAGCTCCAACAGGGTTCTTTGGTTCACACTTGTATGTGTTATTGCCAGCTTGTAGAATATTCAACTGATAGACTCCAGACATGCTGGTATGTACAAGCTGATCATTCAAGTAGAAGCGATATTCATGTGCCGATGGGTTGCTATTTGTTTTACATTGTAAAGTAACTCATTCATTCAGGCAGGCCTCAGTCTTTGTGCTGGTCAGGTTCGTGAGTTCTGGTTTGTCTAGAACGAGAAACATTTTGTTAACATTTTGTTAAGTTTGTATCAAACTTCAAATAACTCTATGACGAGATTTTTGGGTGCTGGGTGGGGGGATAGGGGGTTTGGGGAGCGTTTTTCAATGTGGCTGAATTTTAAGCAGAATTACTTACATGTGACATTTACATATATTGTTCTATTCAAAGGACTTCCTGCAACTCCATTGTTTACAGAGCACTTATAATGGCCAGTGTCTGATTTGCTTAAGCTGTTAATGCTATGAGATGAAAAGAAGCCATTCACACGAGCTAAAGATGCACTATTTTCTGTCTTYGTCCATGTRATRTTTGGAGTGGGGCAACCTGTAGCAGTGCAATTAAGCTGCAGAGCATCTCCTTCWATTAGMACCAYGTCAGCTGYASGTGAAATGTTGATTGATGCAGGAACTGAAATGGGATGCACAAAATCAATTCAATTCCTTRAACAATAACAATTATAATTTAAGTCTTCARTTCGAGTTGTCAAGAAGTACAATYGTCAGTRAAATACTCCAGTATGGTTTATTACGAACTGAGGCTTTTGWCTTCCTTACCTTTTATTGTCAGKTTGATTTTAGCCTCTTGTTGTCCGTACTGGTTTWYAGCTYTGCAWGAATACTCTTCCWGSYTACAWCCATCAATACTTTGAATMACGTGACTAGCAGCATCTGCTCCTGCGCATGTCTTRYCATAGTAGCTTTGGATAACAGTGTTACCGTGGTAAAAAGTCACATTACACAATTGTGGTTTTGATGTTGACGCACATGACAGTCTTACATTGTTTCCTTTCAGGAAAGTGTTATCACTGTTATTTGTTGTTATAATAGTATCTTCAGGTGGATCTGAAAATAATTAATTTAATGCCGGATTAAAACAAACTTAACTTCCCCAAAGTTTGGTAAATGTAGATATTTCTAACTAAAAAAAGAATTAAAGTATTTTCTTGCCATACTAATTGCTTTTAACTTTAGTGGTTTAAAGTGCTTATTGAATTGTGGATGTGTAAAGGCTTGCAAATTAGATATTAATCTTACATTAACTTGACAAGAAGGTAAAGGTATCTATTCCNTAGACTCCAGACATGCTGGTATGTACAAGCTGATCATTCAAGTAGAAGCGATATTCATGTGCTGGTGGGTTGGCATTTGTTTTACATTGTAAAGTAACTGAGTCATTCAGGCAGGCCTCAGTCTTTGTACTGGTCAGGTTCGTGAGTTCTGGTTTGTCTAGAACGAGAAACATTTTGTTAACATTTTGTTAAGTTTGTATCAAACTTCAAATAACTCTATGACGAGATTTTTGGGTGCTGGGTGGGGGAATGGGGGGTTTGGGGAGCGTTTTTCAATGTGGCTGAATTTTAAGCAGAATTACTTACATGTGACATTTACATATATTGTTCTATCCAAAGGACTTCCTGCAACTCCATTGTCTACAGAGCACTTATAATGGCCAGTGTCTGATTTGCTTAAGCTGTTAATGCTATGAGATGAAAAGAAGCCATTCACACGAGCTAAAGATGCACTATTTCCTGTCTTTGTCCATGTAATATTTGGAGTGGGGCAACCTGTAGCAGTACAATTAAGCTGCAGAGCATCTCCTTCAATTAGAACCACGTCAGCTGCAGGTGAAATGTTGATTGATGCAGGAACTGAAATGGGATGCACAAAATCAATTCAATTCCTTAAACACTAACAATTATACTTTAAGTCTTCAGTTCGAGTTCCTTCTCACTAAAATAATGATCATGATGTCATCATTGTCAAGAAGTACAATTGTCAGTGAAATACTCCAGTATGGTTTATTACAACTTTAGGCTTTTGTCTTCCTTACCATTTATTGTTAGGTTGATTTTAGCCTCTTGTTGTCCGTACTGGTTTTCAGCTTTGCAAGAATACTCTTCCAGGTTACATCCATCAATACTTTGAATCACGTGACTAGCAGCGTCTGCTCCTGCGCATGTCTTGCCATAGTAGCTTTGGATAACAGTGTTACCATGGTAAAAAGTCACATTACACAATTGTGGTTTTGATGTTGACGCACATGACAGTCTTACATTGTTTCCTTTCAGGAAAGTGTTATCACTGTTATTTGTTGTTATATTAGTACTTTCTGGTGGATCTGAAAATAATCAATTAATGCCGGATTAAAACAAACTTAACTTCCCCAAAGTTTGGTAAATGTAGATATTTCTAACCAAAAAGAGAATTAAAGTATTATCTTGCCATTCTAATTGCTTTTAACTTTAGTGCTTTAAAGTGCTTATTGAAATGTGGATGTGTAAAGGCTTGCAAATTAGATATTAATCTTACTTTAACTTGACAAGAAGGTAAAGGTATCTATTCCTAGTGCTTTGAGATGAAAACGAGAATAGTGAAGTAAAGAAATTGATCTCCACTCTAGACGTACCTTGGGTTTTATCGAAAACTTTCATTGCGTCACTGTAACGAGCATCTAGTGTATGGTCTCACATGTACGATGAGATGATGAATGTCAAAATGAAATTTTAAAACATGCATTTCGAATTCCAGCGAAGGAAGTTTGGATCAATTTCTGAAACCTGACGGATGATTTCACTTTGTGCACTTATTCCATATAAAAACCGAGGTCAAAAGAATGTGACAATTTTTAATGCGGAGAAGATGAAATATTGACTTGTCTTCAAAAACTGAATATCAAAATCTAACTGAAGCCGATAAGGAAAAAATCTGTGAGAATCATTTAACAAGAAAATGGAAAAAACGTCTCAGGTGAAATCAAATGTTTATTGCCTTTTATCGTTGTTTGGTTCGTTTTACGCTCATAAACGCTCCCTTCCGCCTTACTTGAAGAGTTGAAGGATTCTTTAAAGTTAAAAAATCAGATTTAAAAACTGAACAAATTCGATGCTTACGATATTTGACTGGAATTTAAAAAAAATAGAAATAGGGCAGGGGTACAATCAAGGCCATGCTATAAAGAAATAAAATTTAAAAGGTAGATGAGTTCAGTGAATAGAAAACGTTGAATACCATAACAACAATTTTTAGAGAAGGGCGTGGACTAAAGTAATTCTCTCTTATTTCCTTATATAAAAGTTTGGACTTACAACCAAAACACGTCTATGCTTCAAGATACCTATTATTATTGGCTTGTCTGTTTGTAGCTCTCATTGGTTAAAGGCGCGAAACCTACAATAAGCTATTCTTAATCAGTGAAACTGAAGAATATGTGCCGCTGCAAACAAAGTCATAGAAGAAACGAATCAAAGTAAGTAGCTTTCATTGGTTATATAGTGCATTGATATAGCACATATGCTCTGTTTGAGAATGGTTAAGTGGTTTGACATACTATACTGAGTGAGGTGCTATGCTTTACTCTCAAGTCTTTCACCTAAAGCTTGCTCTACAAAATCATGTTGAGGCAATAAAANATTAGAACCACGTCAGCTGCACGTGAAATGTTGATTGATGCAGGAACTGAAATGGGATGCACAAAATCAATTCAATTCCTTAAACAATAACAATTATAATTTAAGTCTTCAATTCGAGTTGTCAAGAAGTACAATCGTCAGTAAAATACTCCAGTATGGTTTATTACGAACTGAGGCTTTTGTCTTCCTTACCTTTTATTGTCAGGTTGATTTTAGCCTCTTGTTGTCCGTACTGGTTTTCAGCTTTGCAAGAATACTCTTCCWGSCTACAACCATCAATACTTTGAATCACGTGACTAGCAGCATCTGCTCCTGCGCATGTCTTGCCATAGTAGCTTTGGATAACAGTGTTACCGTGGTAAAAAGTCACATTACACAATTGTGGTTTTGATGTTGACGCACATGACAGTCTTACATTGTTTCCTTTCAGGAAAGTGTTATCACTGTTATTTAATGTTATAATAGTACTTTCTGGTGGATCTGAAAATAATTAATTTATTGCCGGATTAAAACAAACTTAACTTCCCCAAAGTTTGGTAAATGTAGATATTTCTAACTAAAAAAAGAATTAAAGTATTTTCTTGCCATACTAATTGCTTTTAACTTTAGTGGTTTAAAGTGCTTATTGAATTGTGGATGTGTAAAGGCTTGCAAATTAGATATTAATCTTACATTAACTTGACAAGAAGGTAAAGGTATCTATTCCTAGTGCTTTGAGATGAAAACGAGAATAGCGAAGTAAACAAATCGATCTCCACTCTAGACCGTACCTTGGGTTTTATCGAAAACTTTCATTGCGTCACTGTAACGAGCATCTAGTGTATGGTCTCACATGTACGATGAGATGATGAATGTCAAAATGAAATTTTAAAACAAGCATTTCGAATTTCAGCGAGGAAAAATGTACTTTGAAGAGTTTGATTGAAGCACTGAATATTAAAACCTGGYGGATGATTTCACTTTATGCTTTGACTTATTCCATGATAAAAACGAAGGTCAAATAAATATGATAATTCTTTTGAGAAAATGAAAAACTGGATATAAAAATTTTACTGAAGCCGATCATAAGCATGAAACTATGAGAGAATCATTGCATAAGATGACGTATTTATTGCCTTTCATCGTTGTTTAGTCCATTTTACGTCCAAACACGTTCTCTTCCCCTTACTTGAGGAGTTTAAGGAAAAAGTTAAAAAATTAGATTKAAAAACTGAATGAATTCGATGCATACGATATTTGACTAGAATTTCAAAAATTGAATAGAAATAGGGCAGAGGTACGATCAAGACCATGCTATAAAGAAATAAAAATTAAAAGGTAGATGAGTTCAGCCATGACTACAATATCTAGAGAACTAAAGTAATTCTCTATTATTTCCTTATATAAAAGCTTGGACGTAAAACCAAATCACGTCTATGCTTCAAGATACCTATTATTTCAATACCTACACTAAGCGTTTTTGAAATCAGTGAAACTGAMGAATTTGTGCCGCTGCAAACAAAGTCATAGTAAAAAACGAATCAAAGTAAGTAGCTTTCATTGGTTATGTAGTGCATTAAAATAGCACATATGCTCTGTTTGAGAATGGTTGGGTGGTTTGRCATACTATACGGAGTGAGGTGCTATTCTTTACTCTSAATTCTTTCACCTAAAGATTGCTCTACAAAATCATGTTGAGGCAATAAACGAGTCTACAAAGATTTACTAAATCCATGGAGCAAGTATAGAAAGAGGTAAAGTTACAATTTAGTGCAATGTTTGCATGCAAGTGCAGCCCAAGATTTCCTCTAAAAGCAAA